CCTCAAAGCAGCTTACAATGACAAAAAAAAATGGTAAAAGTTAAAAACGATAAGAATTAAAATCAGCAATGAATCAAAAGCGGATTAAAACACACATCAGCGTTCTACACATATCTGGGTACACTTGTCTAAACGAAAATGTTTTTAGCAGGTGTCTGAAAGCATGCGTGGCGCTGTGGTCTAAACCGCAGAGCCTAGGGCTTGCCGATCAGAAGTTCAAATCCCCGCGACGGGTGAGCTCCCGTTGCTTGGTCCCTGCTCCTGCCAACCTAGCAGTTCGAAAGCACTTCAAAGTGCAAGTAGATAAATAGATACCGCTCCAGTGGGAAGGTAAACGGCGTTTCTGTGCGCTGCTCTGGTTTCGCCAGAATGCTGGCCACATGACCCGGAAGCTGTACGCCGGCTCCCTAGGCCAGTAAAGCGAGATGAGCGCCGCAACCCCAGAATCGTCCACGACTGGACCTAATGGTCAGGGGTCCCTTTATCTTTAAAAGAGTACATACAGTGAAGGCACCTGCCTGATGTCACAGAATCCAATTGAACCTCAAATCTTTATTGGCATATATGCCACAGAATTACAGAATTGTAGAATTGGATGGTATTCCGAGGGTCATCTAGGTCTATGTTTGGGAACTGGATGCTTAACCAGTTACAGGGCAGGCAGCTGTTATAGCTCATCACTCCAAATCCCTACTCCCTAAGAGCAATGCCTGGCTTAGGTGGTCGGCTGTTGGGAAGCTCCTAGGCCAGCTCCTGGGGAGTGGCGGGCTATGAATCCTGGCCGGACCAAGTGCACAGGGCTTGGGATCCAATAAAAGCCATCTGCATTTATATATTTTTCTAAATAAAAGAGTAGGTCTGTGTTAGGGAAATGGTCCTGATTGTATCTTCCGCGAAGGAGCAGGTGTTCATTTCTCGGTGCTCATTCTGTAATATATATTCATTACATTACACACTGGTGAAACTTAAATTGTGAGCTCCTTGGGACAGATTTCTCATTAGGAATAAGACATAATATCAAAACTCCCCATGAAAGTTTAGAGACTGTGATATTTCTCACAGCACAAGCTTTGGTAGGCAAGGACCTGTTCTGCCAGATGTAAGCTAGATATTTCAGCAACTGATGGCGTAGGTGCTTGCTTACTGAAGCTCATGTCACACAAAACAATTCATAGCCTCTTAAGGTGCCCAAGGATTCCCTGTTGTTCTTTGCGTCTTGCAACATAGCAACATCCTTCTGGAACTTATCCTGCTTTCCTCATTGAGTCTTGCCACTTACCAGCACAAATCAAGGGATGTGTGGTCTTTCAGAATGTAAAATGCGATATTTCAAAATGTAAAAGGATACTCCCACACAAATCAGAAGGCCTCGTTACTCTTGCAAAGCAAACTCTGAGAGAACCGGTCCTATTGTACGTATTTGGAGTGAAATGCATCAAGGTGAAATTAAAGCCACTTGTCATTGTTTCGTGTCTGTTATAAACAGCCACTCTTGTGACATAATTTGAATAACTTAAAAAAAAAAAGATGGTCCTAACTTCTCAGTGGGAAATATTAATTAGATCTTCCCGCAATGTGCTTGTGATTGCAAAAGTCCAGCACTATTCCCTTTCTTTTCTTGATTTGGTTAGGGATGATGAAAACACTGGAGAAGGAGCCAAATTTCACTCAGCCACATAAACTGTATGAATGATTCATAAGCTCTGTCCTTAGTCTTGTACACGGCCACTCTATTTATATGATATGATAATATTATATAAATACCCTGTCCTGTTAATCATACATCTGTATGCATTTCAGCTTAATCAGAGGAACAGCAATTATTCCCCTCTTGCAGAGATCTCTTTAAAGACCTCCTAATGTGCCAGAGATAAATTACTCAATAAACAAATGTTTAAATACGCTGGCACTGTCCAAGAGCATATTACATTATGTTGATCCTCTCATAGCTCTCCTCTGCTTCGGCTGCTGCTGCTGCCACCACCGTAAGGCAGAATGTGGATGCTCTCCAATAGGCTAGTATACTGATAACAGAAAATATGCTAAAGATTAAGGTGTGCGTGTGCACATTTGTGCATGCATGTAACATAGGAAGATCTGGTCACATAAGAAGACATTTTTCATTTCCTAGCCAATTTAATAGATTAAAAAGAAAGTATTTCTTTGGGCATTTAATGTGATTTTATTTGTTTTATACTGTTTTGTATTTGGCTTATTGGTCTTAGTGACTCTTTCAATGGAAAGGAGGGATAAGAAATACCTTAAATAAATAAGAGATTTCACAGTGATGTACTTGCTTAATGCTGTATTGGTACTCATAAGAGCATGAGAAGAACCTATTGGATCAGGCCAATGGCCAAGCTAGTCTGGCGTGCTGTTCTCACAGTGGCCAGCCAGATGCCAATGGGAGGCACACAAGCAAGGACTTTAGTACACCACCACCCTCGCCTCCTGTGTCTTCCAGCACCTGGTGTTCAGAAGCATGCTGCCTCCAACCTTGAAGGTAGAGTATAGCTACTGTGGCTACTAGCCACTGACAGCCTTTACCTTCTTCAAAGCCACCCAGATTGGTGGCCATCACTGTTCTAAGCCTGGTGACTGTCAGGCACCAGGGGTGTGGGGCTTACTGTCAGAGAGGAGTTGCAGGTAGCAGCTCAAGATGAACCATGAGGCAAGAACTAGAAGTTGAGCAAGGAGCTCCAGGTGAGGGAACAAGTCTTGACTCATAGCCAAGGTCGCAATTAGACATTAGAGCTGAAGGAAAGGTAGGGGTCAGTGTCAAACAGCAGTCCAGCAGACAAAGAAGGAAGAACCAGAGGACAAACCACAGAAATATCTCAGGAAGATATTGTTGCTTAAGCAAAGCTTGACCCACAAAATGCCCATTTGTGCACCTCCATTTTTTACACTGTGGTCATGGGGGTAGTATTTTTACTTTTATCCCTTGTCATTCTTGTATACTACCTTTTCTTAAATGCTAATGTGTTCTATTTTTCATCTGAATATTCCATATCACTCATTTTTCTTTGTTTTTTTCATTTCATGTCAGCCTTTTGGCCAGTAAATGGAGTCTTTCCAATCTGAACTCTCTAAAAAAACCTTCCTGGCCCTGATGCCCTCACATCAACTCATATCAGCCCCGACCGACATTGCCAGTCGTCAAGGAAGATGGGAGTTGTAGTCCGAAACATCTGTATGGTACTAGGTAGGAAAAGACTGCTTTAGGATAGTACAAAGAACCTTGGCACTTTATTCTTAGCGCTCTTTTTTTCACACATTGCCCTAAGAATTCATCTACAAGGACCTCAGTCCTTGTAGGACTTTCCAGTCAAAGTTATGTATAAAGTTAGGCTACTGAAGAAATAATCTTCCTATTAAGCATGCACTTAAATCTCTCTAGCTGGAATCAATGGGCCTTAAAAGTGCTTCAGCAGATTGTGTCCTAAATTATCCACTAGTAATTGAATGTACCTCAGAAATGTTACGATAGCATATTCATGTGTACAGACATTAACACCTTTGTGAGCATGTCTTTTAAGGCTGTGTATATGTGTATGTGCAGATGTACATGAACACAGTGGTGAGTGACATGTTAGAAAACAGATTCCTCCCCCCTCCCCCACAACATTCCAGAACCAATTTAAAGCAATGGGGGGAATGTAGCATTTACAAGAAACAGACAGCAAAGTCCATCACTCCATTTGAGTAATCTCAGTATTTATTTATGGTCTTTACATGAATTTATCCTTTCCCTGCTACTGACTTACCTACAAACACATACATCTTTAAGTCATTAGAAAAGCTCTAGCAGCAATATTTATTTTCCAGGAATCTTCGGCTGGGTTGACATGTCTAAACAAAATACTAAAATGGTATCATTGTACAGAGAAAAAACAACTGCAGGGTGACTTAAAAAACAACAACACACACACTGAAGGCCCTGCTTCTGTTTTGGGTGGCACTTCAAAGAGACACACTTGACACCTACACAAAAACCTGCCTGTATGTTTACTGCATTGCTAACAGGATCAGTATGCCTCTGTTGAGAGTATAAACTCACCACAAATGTTATTCTGATCATATGCGATTCTACTGTTTTTGCTTGCATTGGCTGAAATCCTGCATAAGGGTGCCTACACATAACTGCCATTGATTTCGGTAGAAACTACATGCAGAGCTGTTTTCATTGATTTGTTGTTGTTGTTGTTTTTCTTCAGCTGTCTCTTATGAATTTACATAACCTGAAAGCCATATCTTCATAGCACAGAGCTTCATAATCTTCACTCAAGCAGTCGTGGCTGACAGGTACCATGGGAAAGAAAAAAATCCCCTTTCTCTTGCCACTGTCATGCTCCCTGACTCCACATATTTTATGATGTTTAAGGGTCTCTGTTATCCCCAGGGCTTTTTTTCAGCCAGAACTCAGGTGGGCGCCATTGCCATGATAAGAGAACAAGAGAGGTGTTCATGGTGAGTTCCAGCACCTGTTTTCTGTAAAATTAGCACTGGTGTTATGTTTCAAGTAGAATTTGGTCTACCAGTCTACATCTCCTTTGTGCTGAGTAAGGCAGATGGGTTGTGCACATCCAGAATGTTAGCAGAGAGTCCACCAGAGCTGAATGGAAATATGTGCTGGAAGCAGTGGTAGTTATCTTCTTGGAAAAGGAAAGCTTCCTCAACTGATTTAAAGGTATTAGGACCATTTCCTATCTTCTCATTTCTGAACCTTTTCTGAACCTCCTTGTCTACAGTTCCATAATTTAATTTTTCCATTGTCTGTCTTTTCGGCTGAAAATATTGATGAGGATCAAGGTGCATGTGTTCTTGGAGTACAGACAGCTGTGCCAATACTGGGTGGGGCAGAGGAGGTTCTCAGCCAGAATGCATTAGTTTCCCACTAGGCATTCTGGGACACCATAAACACCAAAAGATTTACTGTGTCACCAGCAGGTTTTCTTTATTTATGGCTATACAAGGTGCTAGCAGCCTTTTCAAAAACACATGAATCACATGACGTTGCCAGCAAGCACAGCTGACCAAAGCAGTAAAAGATGCTGGTCCAGAGGTGCCCTACCAGAGGCCAGGAGTCACTGATCCCGTCTTCAGCTTGCTGCCTTCACTTGCCCCAAGGTAAACTTCTTCCTCTTAGGGCAAGCGCAGCAGCTTGAAAGATCAAGGCAGGCTGCAACCAGCCCTGATCCTACTCACACATGTATTTGTGTTCAAGTTTTATTAATGATGAAGTTTTCATTTCTGTATTGCTACTTTTTTCTTTTTCTTTCACAGTATGGACCTCAGTGGTAAATCCTGGCATGCTGCCTTAAACCCTAGAGAGTTACTGCCAGTTGATGTAGACTGAGTTACAGTACTTTGACTCAGTATAAGTTCTTACAGAGTGTATTTTTTATTATGGCCTGTGGACAACACATCTCCACTCAATTTATCATCTATCTCAGTATAAGTAACTGTAGAGCACCAAAGCTGTACACCACTAGCACCCCCTCAATGTAACCTGATTGTTTTAAAATAGCTTGGTTCTGGCATCAGAACAGTTTATCTGCTAATGAACCATTTCGAGCAAATGCCTACTGGATATCCACAGAGTACAAATGCAAAGAGATGTTCAAGTTCACGGTGTACAGGGGAAGCAATAATATTTGCACAAAATCTCCTCGGTGGATATTCAACATGTGGAACGAGAATGGAATGTCTACTAAAGTTTCCAAAGAAATAAAAAAAGTTGCCTTATCCTGAAAAGTCCTGTAATACTGAGGTGACTCTCCATTAAACAGTTGAAAACAATAGACTTCAGATAGGGCAGCTAGATATCACAGCTCTTTTGATAGTGTGTTCAATTTTCTGAAGGACTGTGATGGAGCTACAATGCAATAGGACAGCAGAGTTTCAGAATCGGCTCTGTTCCCTTTCCCTGCTCTATGAGGTTTCAGCTGTCAGTGCTGTCTTGTTTGTCTCTTACAGCTCTGTTCAGGTAATAGAAGCCACAGTAAACCAGGGCTCCTGCTCTTAGGGAGGTTTCCAAGCTTATGCAGTTAATGTGCTATGAAGCCCTCTTCAAATCTTTGCACTAATAACAAATAGATTTGAAGAGCAGCCCACTAGTGTGTGTGTGTGTGCCCTTTCCTCAGCTTCAGTTTTACTTGTCATGTGTTTAGGGAACTGCTGAACAACACCATAGATTACTCTAAATGCAGAGCGCTGAATGAACTATAGTAATTTCCAGTTCCAACAACTCATTATAGATAGATAACTCAGCATTGAAGAAGAAGAAGAAGAGGAGTTTGGATTTGATATCCCGCCTTTCACTCCCTTTAAGGAGTCTCAAAGCAGCTAACATTCTCCTTTCCCTTCCTCCCCCACAGCAAACACTCTGTGAGGTGCGTGGGGCTGAGAGACTTCAGAGAAGTGTGACTAGCCCAAGGTCACCCAGCAGCTGCATGTGGAGGAGCGGAGACGTGAACCCGGTTCCCCAGATTACGAGACTACCGCTCTTAACCACTACACCACACTGGCTCCAGTGTACAATTGCTAATTGTAGTGCAGGGTGGAGTGAAGCAACTTTCACTGAATTCATGGCTGTGGAGGGATGGCATAAAACTTCCCTCCCCACACTCACTGGTCCCAGTGAAAATCACCTGTCCATCCTTATTATTAAATAAATAGATGTGATTGCCTGTAACACATTTGGTAGACTGTGCAAATGATCTGTCCGAATCTCAAACCAAACTGAGATGATTTGTGCCAAATCTGGATGAGGTCAAGGCAGCTACAAATTGCTATCAGGTGGAAAGAATGTCTCCCAAGTGTTGCATCACAGAAAGAGAACGCCAGGGTGGGGAGAAGAGGGGCAGGGGAACTAGATTTTGCTCACTGAGAGCTCTGCCTTCCAATCCAGAGCCAGAATCTCACCCAACATTCTCTACTATGTTTGGGGTGGGGGGGGAAGATGGTCTTAAAATGCAGCAAGCTCCCACCACTTTCACTATTCTATATATGCTATTTCTTAGAAACGGTTTGGTGGGGTTGTGGCATTTGTTCAGTATGCATTCCGCTTCCTTCACAGTACCCTACCCAGATTTATACCTGTTCATTTGCCATCATTATGGTGCTGGAGGAGACTCTTGAGAGTCCCATGGACTGCAAGAAGATTAAACCTATCCATTCTGAAGGAAATCAGCCCTGAGTGCTCACTGGAAGGACAGATCCTGAAGCTGAGGCTCCAATACTTTGGCCACCTCATGAGAAGAGAAGACTCCCTGGAAAAGACCCTGATGCTGGGAAAGATGGAGGGCACAAGGAGAAGGGGACGACAGAGGACGAGATGGTTGGACAGTGTTCTCGAAGCTGCTAACATGAGTTTGACCAAACTACGGGAGGCAGTGGAAGACAGGAGTGCCTGGTGTGCTCTGGTTCATGGGGTCACGAAGAGTCGGACACGACTAAATGACTAAACAACAACAAAAAATTTCCATCCTATTCCAGTTGATCCCAGCCCCATCCTTATATTTAAAAATAAAATAAAAACAAAAAATGTTATTCCTGTTTTGGTTTCCCATTGCAAGTGAATGCAGATACAGTATTCTGATTTATATGTCAGGTTGGGACCTGATCCAGACTGTTGAATTGGGCTCCAAATTGGATCAGGTGGGGGATTGCACAGCCCAATATTTAGCACTACGAAGATATTGTTGTTGTTGCTTTAATTTCCTGTGATGAAGAGGGAGGTTTATATGTTTATTTTGTGCATTGAGAATTTAGATTGGACTATTGGGGTTTTTCTTAAAGTATTGTTATACGTTCAGCAATTTCAAGTAAACCCATTTCTTACTACTATGAATGGTAAACGGAATCACAAATAACAATGGCAGGACAATGACTTTTGCAAATTTTGGATGCAAATGTCCAAATTAAGATCTTTCCCGAATGTCCATTGTACAAATAGATTCATGAAAAGTGAGGGCAAGTTGAATGTGATTAAAGATTCTGAGGTAGCAAGTAGCCACTACCAGTCAGAGAAGGCAATATTAGGCTAAACAGACAAACAGTCTAACATGATATTTGGCAGCTTCCCATGTAGAATCATGTATGGTGCGCGCATGTGTAAGCCAGCCTCAGCAGATGTTCAAGAAGGAGTCAAGGAGGTACTTTCCAAAATTGTTTACTTCTGAAACAAGAATATTTGCTTAGCTCTCTCAGCCAATCAAGAATAGCACTGTCTGCTTAGTGATTTAGGTTGCATCTACGGATACAGTGGTACCTTGGTTCTCAAACTTAATCCTGGAAGTCCATTCCAAAACCAAAGCGTTCTAAAACTAAGGTGCACTTTCCCATAGAAAGTAATGCAAAACAGATTAATCTGTTCCAGACTTTTAAAAACAACCCAAAACAGCAATTTAACATGAATTTAACTATCTAATTAGACCATTGATCCATAAAATGAAAGCAATAATCAATGTACTGTACTATAAAATAAATAGTATTGTACATGATAAAAATAAAAAAATATTATTTTTTCTTAGCTGCACTGATGATAGTCATTGTTTGGATGGGGGGCTTTTATCCATTTCCGCAGTCACACAGTCAACCAATCAGTAGCTGAACTGGGTTCCACACAGTCACAAAAACAAATTAACTGAAAAAGCCTCAAAAACGCAAAATAAATAGCAAAAACAAAAGCGCCAAACTTAATCTGTTCTGGAAGTCCGTTTGACTTCTGAAATGTTTGAAAACCAAGACGCAGATTCTGATTGGTGCAGGCGCCCCAGAAACAATAACCGGCAGCTGCATGGGACGTTCGGGTTTCGAAAAACGTTCGAAAACCAGAACACTTAATTCTGGGTTTTTAGCATTTGGGAACCAAGGCATTGGAGAACGAAGGAACCACTGTACTGTGTTCTGTTTTGGCTCTTTTTTGCTTTCACTCTTTCAATCCACCTCCTCTCAAAAAAAACCAAATTGACATCTCCCCCCCCCCCCATTAAAAACCCTTCCAATGACCTTTCAAAGCAGAATGATGCATTGTGGTGTAAGGTTGCCATGGCAAAACACACTTGCGCACAAACATATGTAATTTCAAAGGAAACGTGTGCATAAAGAAGCATGTAAGCCACCAATTCATGACTTATTGCTATTTCAAGAGACAATGGCCTCTTCTCTTTGCAGATAAGACTTTGTCATTCCTTTAAGTGGAAAAATCATTTTTGATTATGCACTAAATCTAGACATGGCTCTTTGGAAGTGATTCTCTTTACTTGCTGTTTTAAAAACAAAATGTTTTCCACTTAATAGCAAAGGAAGGTATATATTTACATACTACCCCCAGATACTATTTGGGTTAGTCTCTTATATGAACTGTGGACAATTTTAAAGAGCTGCGCAACTGTTTTTCTACTATAGTTCATGAGCCTCTTCCATTTGGTGCTTCTGTATAAATCTCCTTAATCTGCTTACCTAATTTTACTCTAACAGCAGTGAATTGTTTTGCCAGAGGTCTAAGCTGTCATGACTTACTTGCAGATTTGCAGTATTAAAAAATTTCTTAACCCTTTGCAACCTTCCCTTGCAGCTGGGTTTTCAAAAGGAGCACCTTTCAAAATATTCAATTTAGTGCAGTCGTAAAAATGTAACTCCCTGGTTGCTTTCAGTTACGATCCTAAAAACATCTACTTGAGAGTAAGCCCCAGTGAAATCAATGGGACTTCTTTCTGACAAAAAATATTACCTCCAAACTACATTTGTGCTGAAATTTTGACAGACCATAAACACTGTAATAAGTTCAAATATCCATTTATGGTTTTACCTGCAGTGTTTTAATAAAAATTCAGTACATCATGTTGTTTCCTCCCCCCCAAACTAGGTGCGTCTTATCGTCCGGTGCATCCTATAGAGCGAAAAACACGGTACTTTCAAAACAAGGAGACTCATTCTTTCTCATATATGCACATACATATATGTGCTCCCTATCTGCCGCCTCCCTCCAAAATCTTTCTTTGTGCATCCAGCTGCTCACTTGCTTTAATATATATAGATATATTATATATTATTGCATGCTATATAACTCTTGCTAGCTTTGCCACATAGTTTGCATGGCTTTAAATTCGATGTTACTACAGTGGAAGTATGAGATTCAACTAGAGGACCCTGTGCAAGGATAGGAATTCACCTAGCACAATTGGGTGCAATTCCCCCAGCTTGATCCGATAAGTGGAGCTGTACTTGTATAGCCTTCTGAAGGCCACAGAACCCACCAGTTAGCTGTTGGCATGGGTGGGGGATGGGAGACTGAGAGCACCTCAATTCCATCTATTGCCTTTCTATGCAGAAGCAAGTCCCATTGAGTCAAACATTGAGCCGTGGTTGCTTTAGTTCCCCCTTTTTGGACCAGAGGAATAAATACAATAGGCTAGAAGAGAAGCTGTATATGTGGTTGGCATATATGGCATTAGTGTTTCTCACTCATATAAAAAAAAATCTGTTTCTTAAGAATCCAGACTATGGGATTTCCCATGAATGGCAGGCAGGAAGACACGAATCTTGCTCTGTCCCTTAACTTCAAAATACAAAAGAAAATGCATGTACTAGGGTAAAGTGTGCGTAAAATGCATATGTTCATGAAAACAACATGCTAAGAAAATATTATATTGGTGGAAACTATCTTGCAAAAATGTGTATACAGTGGTACCTCGGGTTAAGAACTTAATTTGTTCTAGAGGTCCGTTCTTAACCTGAAACTGTTCTTAACCTGAGGTACAAGTTTAGCTAATGGGGCCTCCCGTTGCCACCGCACGATTTCTGTTCTCATCCTGAAGCAAAGTTCTTAACCCAAGGTACTATTTCTGAGTTAGCGGAGTCTGTAACCTGAAGCGTCTGTAACCTGAAGCATCTGTAACCCAAGGTATTTTTTTAGAAAAAGGGGGGGGAAAACCCCTCCGCTGCTGTTGCTGTAGCATCTTAAATGATGGGGAAGTGTTCTTTCACTGCCTTGAAAAGAATTTTAGATAATTGGGTGCTCTGGGTGGTTCAGAAGATAGTGTTTTTTAATATAAGATGCAACTTCAAATTTGGCTTATACAAAATACATGGCAGGAGACATCAGAGGATGCACATTGTATCTTCTACCCTGCAAATTTTGTTTGTATGTCCATTGAATCTAAATATTTATTTATTTATCTATTTATTTCCCACCCTTCACCTTAAGAGCCCATTAACTTTAAGGTCCCATTAACACAAACCTTTTCCCACTCTAGAATTTAGAGATGGAACGCCAACTTTTCCGATACCCCCTGTAGTAAAAGCCTTTACATTTGGCTCCTGCTCTCTATGCATATAAAAATGGTGACGGGCTTTGCATGCAATTACTGCATGTTTCATCATTGTCCTTTTATAGATCCAGCAATGTCTGCAGGTCACTGGCTGTATTGCTTATTCAAGATAACCTATTTTTAGCTTACCTGAAGTTTGTTGCACACAGCATTCTCCTTAACAAGGTTTGGTAACTTTATTTCTCCTGCTTCATCATCAGTTCTAAACCTGCATCGACTTCTTTTGTGGGGCATGTTTTCAGTAATTACGTTCCATAGATATTAAGCCAACAGATTGCTTATTCTGCCATTTTTGTTTCTGTTTCAGTGCTTATAAAGTTATACACCCTCTATCTAACTGCTTATAAAGTTTTAGTTATGCTCAGCTGAACAAATGACTTCCCAGTTAATGAAAAACGTTGTAAGTTCTCGTATCTCCGTAATAAAATACTGTTCAATTATTTCACTGTCCTGTGATATGCATATCACATTTCCAGTTTTTAGCAATTAGTGTCACCGAAACAAAACCAAAAATTGCAGCTATATCTTCCACATGGTGCCTTCTTCACACACAGTTTTTCATTTGTTAGAAGAAAGATTACTTGTCCTTGTCTTTGCTTTCCCAAATTTACCAATTTACTGATGTAAAAATTCCTCTTAAAGTTACCCTTTCTGTCAAAGAGTCTTATCTCCTTGGCCATTGTGGCATTCCATTTGTCAGTACAGTGGTACCTCAGGTTACTTATGATTCAGGTTACAGACTCCACTAATACAGAAATAGTGCTTCAGGATGAGAACAGAAATCGGGCTCCGGCGGCACGGCAGCAGCTGGAGGCCCCATTAGCTAAAGTGGTGCTTCAGGTTAAGAACAGTTTCAGGTTAAGTACGGACCTCCGGAACGAATTAAGTACTTAACCTGAGGTACCACTGTACAGGCTGAGTGTTGAGACTGTTTATTTCTGAGGCTATATTGGTTCTGTTATGTTACAGTTGTATGGAATAATGAAGAAAAACATTTAAATGGCTGTGCCCCAATGACTGTTAACTTGAAATTTCACAAAATGATGGAAGAGACAAATGTTATGTCATATTACAATTC